CCAGACGTTACCTTCACCCACATTCCATCCTACACACACACGCCGTCCTGGACACTGGTTAGAAAAGTCTTAGGCGACACTTTGTCGAAAGACTTCATCTCACCTGGTCCAAATCCCCAATGGCCCTTCAGAGGGTTGTTGAGGTCATCGTTCAGGAACCGCTCAGGGTAAAAGCGCTCCGGCTCTGCATATTCTCTGGGATCCAAAGCGATAGCCCAGGCATTCCAAACAAAAACCGTTCCCTGCGGGAATCTGTAGCCCTCGTACTCGTCATCTTGTGTGAGTGATGTTGGAGCTCCGATCTCGGCGAGATTCGGTCGCCAGCGAAAGATCTCCTTGACCGTGGCGGTGATGTAGGGCAAATCCTCCCTATCAGACCATTCTGGGAGTCTCTCTGCATTTGCGCCACATACTTTGTCAAGCTGTGCTCTTGCTCGCTCTACCCAGTCAGGATACGTCGCAGCCGCGGCGATCATATCGTATATGGAGACTCTAGTAGTGTCGCTACCGGCTTCCATCAAGCTTCCTAGAACGAAGAGCTGTGAATTTTCATCGAAGTAATTGTCATCATTTGACCTGATAAAGTCCGCGGCAAAGCACTCGCGCTGTTCACCTTTCTCCATGCGCTCCTTTAACTCGTCGAGCTGATGCTTGTACACCCTGCGGACAATACGTCAGCTAGATCACATAAAGGACGGGCTCCACTTGCTGTCTGGTGTAGTGAAACATGCGCTCTCCTTTTGGCCTCCACCACTGCAGAACTTTGGGAAGTCGCGCCAGGACAGGAAACCCGTCAACGATGTTTGCACCTGGCTGTTGCTGTTCCAGGAACATTTCGGCAGTTTCAAAGAGTTTCGTGACTTCTGGGTCATCGAGCTTTGATCGAACCCCAAAAACGACGCTCATAATGATCGAGTTCGAATATCTTCCGTTGGCAGAGAACCAACGATCGGGATTGTGGAGATAGTCGTACAGGAGATGTTTGGACTCGAGGTCCTGGAACTTTGAAAAAGTGTCTTTTTGTCGCGTACTGAGAATCTGGTGCATGACCTTCCGCGTCTTCCTCCATTTCTCACCATAAGGCATCAACACAACACGACCGCCTCCCGACATGATGTCTTGAGTCATTGGGAATGGGGGTCGAGAAGAGTAGATTGCAGCACGTTTCTCCATCAGGTCAGTCACCACTCGCGAGGAGTTGAGGAAGACCCAGGTAGCACCACCAAACTTGACAGTGAACCTTGGACAGCACTAGTCAGCGCTTGATAATGCCACGGATTGCAATTGTGCTTACATCTCTCCGTACTTCTCGGCCAGTTCTTTGGCCCATGGCCCCTGCTGTGTTGGAGGAACCTGCAAAGCATTCCCAAATATCGGAATTCCGGGCACCAGTGGTGGTAGTCTGTATTTTGAGGAACCCTTCCTACCGTACAGGGTTACAAGGTAGGTTATGACCACGGCGGTCAGGCCGAGGAAGACAATGGTTTGATTCATTCTGTCAATAACCTACCATGAAGATGAAGTCGAGAAAGATGTTGGCTGTGACCAAGAGCTCAAGACTCAAAGAGCCACGAATTATAAAATTTTGGAGCATGCTTCAAGCTCCCGCATCTACGCCTATGCCTGATCGAACTGTCAGTAACCGGTATAGTATGCTCGCACTCCAGGTAAGGAGAATGTGGGGTTCTGTGGAGGTGGCATTCGGATTGCACCCCCGCGACGCGAACAGCTTTCCGAGGAGAGTGAGACTGTTCATAGTCAACGATAAGCGAGGCAGAAGCCTTACCAACTCGTGTGCGACATGTTCCCCGGGCATAAGCCGATCAATCCCATATATCATGTTATAGGTAAGGTTGGAATAGGTCGAGGATGTTTGGTACCGGCGTAGCTTCGGTTGATTTGATCGTGGTCTTCCTGCTCCGGCGTTAAGTATCCTGTCACTCCTGTCCTGCCTGTAAAACCCGGTGCGCTTTATCGATAAGGACTTGGCGCAGCAATAACTTTTTTGTCCGAGATTGGAGGCGTTCAGAACAATTTTCTTAGCCAGACGCCCAACATGGCGCCATCGCAGCTCAAACAGCTCAAAGCCTCTCTGCGTGAGAATGGCGTCCTAGGGCCACAGAAATCCAAAAAGCAGCGAAAAGCCACCGCAAAAGATGCCCAGAAAAGAAGCCAGCGCAATGCCGCTCTCGAAGACATTAGAGAACGGTTCAATCCATTCGAAGTCAAGACCCCGGCTCGACGAGACAAGTTTGAGGTCGCTAGCGGAAAGAAGTCACAGCCATCTGTTGGAAGACCCGGTGTGACACGCGGTTTGGGCGAAGAGAGACGGCGAGAGACACTGTTGAAAGAGATGCAAAGTCGACACAAGGTCGGCGCATTAGTTGATCGTCGTTTCGGAGAGAATGACCCTACAATGACGCCGGAAGAACGGGCTGCTGAAAGGTTCGCGCGCCAAAATGAACGAAAGTTGAGAAAAACATCTATGTTCAATTTGGAGGACGATAGCGAAGAAGAGTTGACACTTACACACGGAGGGAGGTCTCTAGACTTTGGTGGTGCAGTCCAAGACGATTTCGACGAAGGTGATGTCGCTCTTTCCGACAACGAAAACGAGGAGTTCGAGGCGCAGGACGACAGACCACGAAAGAAATTGCGGCTTGAAGGTGATTCCAGTGGTGATGAGGCCGAGGAAGGTGACGAGGCGCCGCAGAGGAAGAAGACAAAGACTGAGGTCATGAAAGAGGTCATTGCCAGGTCGAAGATGCACAAAGCGGAGCGGCAAGCAGCAAAGGAGGACGATGACCAACTCCGAGCGCAGCTGGATATGGGAATGTCTGAGTTTTACGAGGCGATGCGAGGTCACAAACCACCTGAGAGACAATTACCGTCACCACCTATCACGGAAGCAGAACCACACATGGACCCTGCCCGAGCTGCTATGTTGGCTGGAAAGACCAGAGAAGACGCAGAGAAGGAATATGAAGCCAATCTGAGAGCACTCAAACTGGAAGCCCGATCGAAACCTAGTGTGCGCACGAAAACAGACGAGGAGAAGGCTGCGGAAGAGGCGGCAAGGCTTGAAGAACTCGAAAGAGAACGAATGCGCCGCATGAAAGGAGAGGCTGAGAGCTCGGATGAGGAAAACGAACAAGAAGCAGAGCCTGGCCCAGACGAAGACCTAAATGAGGATGACGCTGAAGCATTCGGCTTGTCTGCGCCCAAAACCGTCCAGAAGAGAGAGCTTGATGTCGAAGATGAGGACGAATTCATGCTTGAAGATGATCTCATAGAAACAGACTCTGAGGCCGAAATGGCAAGCGTGCAGGATGACGAGGAGTCTGAGTCTGAAGAGGAGCTAGAAGACGACGGAGACGATGATTTCATCAATGGCCTGGTCTTGCCCCCAGCCTCGAAGATTGCACAAACAAAGACCGGGGACAAATCCACAGTTAGCGACAATCTCGCCTACACATTCCCTTGTCCTCAGACCCATGATGAACTCCTAGTTCTGTTGAAGGACAGCAAAACCACAGATCTGCCGACGATCGTTCAGAGGATCCGTGCCCTGTACCACAAGGGACTCGCACAAGGAAATCAGGAGAAGCTAGATACCTTCGCTGGCGTCTTGACACATTATCTGGCCTATCTTGCAGACACTGACGGTGATGTACCTTTCTCGGTCTTAGAGAGCCTGATACGACATCTCCATTCGATGGCGAAGGGGTCGCCGCAAGTGGTCGGTGACGCTTTCCGGAAGCGGCTTCAGACTATTGCTGAGGAGCGCCCTCTCAAGCTTTCTCCCGGTGACCTAATCATCTTGACAGGCGTTTCCACCATCTTTCCTACCTCGGACCACTTCCACTCGGTTGTAACACCAGCAATGCTCACTCTTGGTCGATATCTCGGTCAGAGCTCGGTTCAATCTGTGCATGATCTCGGACTCGGGGCATATTGCTGTTCACTGGCTTTGCGGTATCAGCGTCTCGCAAGAAGATATGTCCCCGAAGTGGTTAACTATGTCGTCAATGCGTTGTCTACCCTCGCACCGATACCGATGTTTGAGAAAAATCAAGAACAACCATTGAACGTTCCAATCCGGCTTCCCGCGCAGTCAATGCGTATAAAGTCGTCCGCAGAAGCTCCCAAGAAGCTGTCGTTCAGAGACCTCGTATTGAACAACGGCGAGGAGAGTAAGGCTACCGGTGCACTGGCTGTATTCGACGCGTTCGTACAACTCTCGGGGCCGATCGGGGAATTATGGAAGGAGAAGAAGGCTTTCCCAGAGATCGTCACGCCCCTGATCCAAGTTCTCAGCCATGTGACATCGCATCCCGGAAAACTACCGAAGCAATCACTTCACCTCGTCAAGGTTGCTCAAGACACTTTGTTCGGACTTCGGAACTTTGCCATTCAGTCCCGTGTGCCTCTACTTTTGCACAACCACCGGCCTCTCGCGATCAAACAGTCCATACCAGCATTCATCGAGAACTACAATCCAGATCGCCATTACGATCCGGACGAGCAACGCTCTCAACTTTCCAAGCTCAAAGCCGAGCACAAGAAGGAACGTAAGGGAGCAATGCGTGAGTTGCGCAAGGACGCCAATTTCATGGCCAGAGAACAGCTTCGTGAGAAGAAGGAGAAGGATGCTGCGTATGATAAGAAGTTCAAGAGGCTTGTGGCCGAGATCCAAGGGGAGGAAGGTAGAGAGAAGAAAGAGTATGAGAAAGAGAAGAGGAAACGACAGGGTCGGTTCTAGATGTGGAGGAGTCAGCCTTTGGATACTATAGGCAATCTAAATGAGCCCTTGAAGAGCGAAAAGTGACCTGACTTCGGATGAATGTCGTATCTTCCATAGTGAACATATGCTCTATACACAACGCAAGACAACTTAATCGCCATGCAACGCACCTCAAAAAGAAAAGTTCGAGACTTCAAGTACAAAAAGAGTCAGGAACCATCAGGGGTATCATCTACATGCATTCAGGGGGCAAAAATGATCCTGGCGAGACTTGAACTCGCGACTTTCGCATTTCTCGAAAGGAATTCATACTGGATGCAAGCATACAATATAAGAACGACACGCTAACCACTGCGTCACAGGATCTTTAAAATAATTTGTCGATGAAAATTGGAGCTTTTTTCACGACAGTATCAAGGCTGTTTTTGGGGTGGTTAGACATATATACCACAATTTTTCTGCACGTGACGTCTCTTCCATGTCGTAGTATTTTTCTCCTTCGTCCCCAGTATTTCTGGTCGCAAGATTCGTTGTGAGATGATTTCCCGCGCATTGATGTGATGCAACGGCACTGTTGGTAGGTCTGGTAGAATCCTTCACTTTCAGCGTCTTCAGCAGTTCCGCACGTTTTGTGGCGCTTCCAGCTCACCACATTTGGAACCCGTATGCGTTGGGAAATTTCTTGACATTGCAAAGCGCATCGCGTCTAGCAGCTTGTGCCGGAGACCAGCCCGCCCTTGTAGCAAACATGGCCTCGGATCAATCCAAAAATGGCTCGGAGGAGGACGACGATTACATGAACATGACGTTTGAAGAAAAAGAGCCCTCGAAAAAAGCCGAGACCCTCATGCAGCGCAAGAAACGACTTGCTCGAGAGGCCGAAGTCAAAGGACGACCGAAGTCGAAGGCAGAACTGGCGGAAGAAGAGCGCAAGAAAAGAGAAGCAGCACTGAACTCTACGACACTCGACACCAAGAGCAAAGGGTTCAAGATGATGGCAGCACTGGGGTATAAACCAGGTAGCGCACTGGGCGTATCCAGATCGGGCGCAAGTGAAGCGAAGGACGACCGACTTCTCGAACCCTTAGGTCTTGAAATGAAAGATTCGCGGAGTGGTATCGGTGCGGATGCAGAGAAGAAACGCAAGTTTCGTGAAGAGATGGAAGCGCAGGCGGACGGGGAGAAGAAACAAAAGGTCGAAGCGGGCGACTTTAGGGAACGACAGCAGAAGGAGCGCGAGGAGAAGAAAATGGAAGGGCAAGTATGGGGTGCGATGAAAGTCTGCGAACGACTTGAAGAGGAAGAGGAGGAGGCTGAGCGCTATCCGGACAACGATACGGATCCTGCAAAGCGAAAGTCAACGAAGCCGCTCAAAGGTATTAATGTCCTCTGGCGCGGCCTTGTTAAACAGAGAGCCATCAACGATCGAGATCGGAGGATGAGGTATGATCTGCAGCAATCGTTGGTAAGGCGTCCGGAGTATGATGATCCTGACGAGGACAAGGAGGATAAGATGGCGCTGGGGAAGAAAACTGAAACGGAAGAAGTTGATATCGATCTTGACGAGGACGACGAAGAACTAGATGAGTTCGCGGCTCTTGAAGTGCCAGAGAAGTTGAGCAGGCTTGTAGCATATCTTCGCGAGAGATGGCACTATTGCTTTTGGTGCAAGTTCAGGTATCCGGACAAGGAGATGGAAGGGTGCCCAGGCTTGACTGAAGAAGAACATGACTGAGGTTGCATATCGACACTCAGCTAAGATGACAAATGGCAATGTTCCTCCATCGAATGAAGTCCAACACAATAAATTTGCCCAAATATGGAAGTTGCATATAGCGTCGCCGAAGCCTTGGTTGCCCATACCTCAGCCTTGTGGGCCGACTTTTGACTTTCAGCCTGATTCCCCGCATACTTCGATCTTCATCTATCTACATGAAGAATAACGTGCATTCCTTCATGTTGTACAACCATGTCTTTCTTCTATTCTAACCGCTTCCTTGTAGCAGTACTTGTTATAGCGCTCGGTACAGCATGTTATACAACACCCGGTCTTCTGCAAAGGGTCAAAGATGAAGCTCGCGCGCCCGAACCAGAACCTCCTCCTCCACGCAGACGTCTACAGAAAGACTCGGAGAATGCTCTCAAGATCGAAACCTTGCGCACACTGGCAGATGGCTACAGCTTTGAACTACGCACCTCGGCCATCAAGATCGTCGCCAGCCGCACCGTCAAATCCCGGACAAAAGACCTGCTGTTACGTGACTTGGCCAGCAAAGACGACGACCGCCGAAACGACGCCATCAACGGCATGTGGCTGCTGCTCTATCATCCCGCCTTGACGGACAAGAATTATGTCTCGATATTTGGCTCGAAAGGCATCGTTGCCGCAGTGCGAGCGCTTATCAACGTTATGCCACTGCACAATGTCCAAAGGCAGAGCTCCAACAGTGATCCCAGAAAACTTCCGCCCTCTCCCATCTTGCCACCAGGCCGCCCAGCACAAGAAGTCTCCCTGCTTATTCTTCTCGGCCACTTGCTTTCACATTCCTTGCTTTTGGAGGATTCTGGCCAGAGTAGGACAGCCGATTATCCTATCAAAGCAGCCCTTAAAGCGGGCTTGGTGACCGAGTGGTTAGCCCACTACCCCTTTCCCTGTGCCTTGCCGGAGAATCAGTGCTTCAATTTCAAACGAAGCGACACTGTGCGCCTGTTCGAGCGCGATAAGTGGAGGATGGACGACCAACTTATGGCAAGTGTCATTTCCCATGTTTCCAGACATCCGCTGGGGCGCAAACAGATGATCGATGCCGGTCTGGACACTAGAAGAGGACACAGACAAGCAGCGGAGCATCATTCCTGGAACTTCACTCCCTTTAGACGCCCAGTCTGGGCCGCAGATGCTCAAAATGACGACGACGTAAGGATGTTTGGTGGCGAGGACACGGCTGGGATTGTTAACGACGATCTGACGGTATGGGAGGAGCCGATACTACGACCTGTGGGTGTGACTGCCCGGCAGCGCTCGAGCGAGCGGAGTCAAGAGGAAGAACATCTACGGCGTCGACATCGTGAAGCGATTGTTGTGGCTGAGCGAGGGGCACCTTTGCGCAGGGAGAACATCCTGCAGCGTAGCGACAGTAGGGTGTTGCAGCCAATGAACGGCGTTAGTGAAGTCGAGGGTGTTCTTAACGGGCTGTTGGGCCTTTCCGATGAGCACGGTGAGCGGACTTTGGATCTTGTCGAGCCAGGACAAAGCAGTCGTATAACGCCATCATCATCACGAATCGATCAGATTGCTGGGGCAGAGGCGTCGTTGGCAGATCGGGTGGTCACCTCGGACGAGTTGCATGACTCATTGGATGAGTTTAACAATCTCTCCGAGTACGAGAGGCAGGTGGCGCCCGAGGTTCTCGCCGAGATTGACGAGATGATTGCGGCGGCGATGAGTGATCCTGATGTTCAGGAGGCGATCCAAGTGGTTAGTACTCCGGCTTGGAGGGCGAGGCAGGCTTCTGGCGCGTCCGGCACAACTGTCGAGGACGATGATGCGAATGGCTTATGAAATGAGCGTGGCACAGGGCATGTGTATTCAACAATGGTTCAATGGTCAGGTATTACATAGCGAGGCGTTCAGGTTTGGCAACGGTCAGGGAGCTCCTGTGCGAGTGTATGGATCCGACACAATGGATGGGACGGTGTAACATTGACGAATTGCATTTTCAAGTCTCATAACATTCCCTGCACTTGATGATTCGTGCTGGTCAGATCCTTGCATCTTCGATTGCAGTCTGTGACCGCGTTGGCTTGTCATCGTCTGGCTTCTAGGTCCAGTGCCTTATCATCCGTGTAACCGACCAATATGACGGTCGTTGGAAGTGACTTGAGTCTACCTGGCCACCACCATCTTTCCACATCCTGTCGATTAAACAGACATACAAAATCCCTTCGCAATCCTTCTCCGAACCATCCATTTACTTCAGTGGAATGAAACGCGAAGAGTGGGTAGCACCGATACCGGGTCTACCGTGCTTGACGGGCTTGTATGAGATGGAGAATTCGCCGAGATAGTGGCCGACCATTTCGGGCTTGATTTCGATCTGATTGAATTCCTTGCCGGAGTAGACACCGATGACGCTGCCAATCATCTCGGGCACAATGATCATGTCTCGGAGATGCGTCTTGACCAAGTCGGGCTTCTCGTTGGGCTTTGCCTCCTGCTTCGCCTTGCGCAGCTTCTTGATCAGACCCATCGGGCGGCGCTTGAGGCCTCGGTTGAATCGACGACGGGCGCGGGCATGGAGGATGGTCAGGAGTTCGTTGGATGGGATGTCCAGCAGTCTGCAAATCATCAAACGTCAATTTTTGTTTCTTTTTTTGGACCCAATGCCGATGAAGTATTCATCGCAGCGACAAAACGTACTGGTCGAGATCGACACCTCTGTATGAAAACTTTCGGAATGTTCTTCTCTTCTTGATCTCTGCGGCCTCCTCGGCGTTCTATGCGAATTTTGTCAGTCAAGGCTCAACGGTCTTTTGCTCGAGCAGGAACGTACGTATTCGCTGTCAGCCATGGTTGCGGTTCGACTGCCCGGGTCGCTTCTCGATGAGTTGTCGAAAAGCGGATGGGATTGAGGTGTGCAGTTGATATTTCGAAGTCAGTTCAGACGGCGAAGCGTTTTGCAAACTGCGGGCTCAGGCTAAACGGTGCCAAGAGATAAGTGCCAAGCTTTAGGGTTTGTGCGAGCACGTGATTTTGGTTCCAGAGACAAGGCTGCGCGGATGATGGTTTACAAGTCGTGCGTTTGTTCCGCACGACTCCTGTGATGAAAGAGATGTGCGTGAGATACACAAAGTTGCCACGATGCAGCTATTCTAAGGAGTATATCCTCGGAAAGGGCTTCACAATGAAGAACATAGGAAAAGTTAAAATTCAAGTCTGTTGTTTCCCGGATTTGATATTATCATTGAGAGCCATACTCTATGGCCACAACTTTGCGCAAAGAGACTCTTCTGGTAGTGCTTCTACAGTAATCACTGCGTGTTTCACTTGGGTTCCGTTTCCCTATTCCCTGGGTCCCTCTATTGCGTTCCGTTCGACGTGAGATGCATGATCTGTTGAATTGGCGACTTTGTTTCGAAACGTTTAGTCGAAGAGACCGAAGCCCATGTCCTCATCAGACTCTTCCTTCTCAGCCTCCTTCTCTGGCTCCTTCTCCTCCTCAGCAGCGGCCTCACCACCGGCGGCAGCACCACCAGCAGCTGGGGCGGCAGCACCGCCAGCGCCACCAGATGGGACAGACGCAAGTTTGGTAGAACCTTCAGCGATCAACTGCAACTGTGTTAGACTTCCCTTCAAAAAGTGTTTG